AGGGAAAAACCTGAACTCATTATTCAGTTAGAATTAAAAGGGGAAAAAAAAAGTAAAGTTGGATTTACCAGTTTGCTGATCAAATATTTTAAAATTTACAGATAATATGCAAAGGTGTTATTTAATGACTAAATTGATCTTAACTTAAAAATACATTTAACCATTTGCCAAGTATATGATGCAGACTATGGGTAATCAGATAGAACTTGATTCAGGAGGAAAACATTTAAGGTAAATCAAGCATTTCAATATTTTCATGGGTAAATTACTGAATTAATGAAGATCTTTGATAAGCAGTTTTAATATGGATGTATTCTTTTGACTTCTGGTTAATATGTATAAAATAAAAAAAGCATTTAAGACGACCTGTTGCAAACTGCTTGGAGTGTCACATAACTGTGCAACTGTTCTGAAATGTTACTTTTAACTGTAGTGAAATGTTTAGAATGAAAGAAGAGAGCAGTAGTCTTTCATCTCTTAAAGAGGAATTTGCTCAGCGAATTGCAGATGCTGAGAAGAAGCTCCAGCTAGCCTGTAAAGAAAGAGATGCAGCTAAAAAGGTAATTTGGCTTTTTATTGAAATCAATGGTTATTATTTTAGAACAGAACTAGTTTAGTGGTTTATGGAGTTTAAATGTTCTTGACCTGCTATCACAGTGTTACATTTCTCCAGCTTATTGCTGGACTGCAAAAAGTAAACTCAAATCTGTAAGTGGAAAAAAATATATTTTCCACAGTAGAAAGTTGAAATAGAAAAATTATCTGATACCTGTGTGTGAATGTAGGTTTGTTTTTACTATACTGCAAAAGTCTGAAGTATAGAAAATAAAATGGAAGGAAGAGTTGGAACAAATTGTACAGAGAAGTCTCAGTCCTTGGAGGTTTTTAAAGCCTGATGGAGTAAGACTCTGATTTAATCAGATAATCTCCAGAGTTCTTTTCCAACCTAAATTGTTTTCCAAGAAAAGCCTTTGAGAGGAAGGGGAGAAGAAAAAGGTGATCAGTGTAACTTACTGTGTGTTTTTACCTAACTATATTTTAATAAATGGTCCTAAGTATTTTATCCTATTACTTAGGAAGTAAAGACTATTAAAGAAGAATTGGCTACTAGACTTAATACCAATGAAACTGCTGAATTACTGAAAGAGAAAGAAGAACAAATCAAGGGATTAATGGAGGAAGGTGAGAATTAAATTTTTTTTTTAATACTAAAAATGTACAGAATAATTTGAAAGCCTTCATATAAGCTTTCTTTATGTGGGGAAAAAACTACAAAATTTGAAGCACATTGGATGTTTCTGAGCATCTGAACCATTTAAGTTAATGGCAAAGAGCAACAGGAGGGACCCAGCACAGATGGCCAGAGGGGCATGTTCTGCAGGATGCATTGAGAGGTGCTCTGAGATAAAACCAGTGTGCAGTAGAGTGCACCATGTTCCATTTGGCAGAAATCTAACTAGGGTATTGTTCATGGCATTTCTACAGTGTCTCCCTTACCTAGTGTTTAATTTTGGAAGTAAAAGACAGTTTTTAAATGAACAGGTGATTTTATTTTTTTCCTGATATAATGAGTTTATTTGCTTTACTTTCAAAGCCTCTCCCTGCCTGTTATCTTACTATAGCTTAGTGTAGCAAGGTTATCTCAGGATAAGATAGAATTAAAACTTAAGAACTTTGATGAAAAAATGTTAAGAGGAAGTATTTCCATACATATCTGATTATTATTTTTATGGGACTGAAGAGCAGGGGGAGGTGTGAACAGAGAGCTCATAGAAGAGCAGCAGTGTGCACTAGCATTCTGTTAATTTTCTTCACAGGAGAAAAGCTTTCCAAACAGCAGCTGCACAATTCCAACATTATTAAGAAATTAAGAGCCAAAGAGAAAGAGAGAGAAAATATTAACACAAAACAGAACAAAAAGATTAAGGAATTGGAAGAGGAGCTGCAGCATTTAAAACAGGTGAGATAGTTGAGGTATTTTGCTTTGAAGCTTTTTGTATTAGCTGCAGAGTAGCCTTTTGGAGAGGCTCTAGGTGGACTGACACTTCATCTTCTTTTCTGGGAGGCTTCTCTACTTCACATTATTGGAACACTGAGAGGTGATTTCTGTGTGTGTTCTTAGAGCAGTTTGAAACTGCAGTCACATGTCTTTCCAGCTGCTTGTTTGCACTTGCACTGCTGGTTCTCAGGGCAGCTGACCAAATTTAATACATTGAATTTTAGTTGGAAAACCCATACCAGCAAAATTTGGGCATTTTTTTTTCTCTGTTGGTGATTGAATCAAGGCCTTGGAAGCAGCAGACCCAGCATGAGGAAGTATGTGAAACTTTGGTGAAGGGCTCCCTCCTCTGGGGAAGGTGCAGGAGCAGATCCTTTCTCTGTTGGTGAAGAGTTAGATGGGTTTAGTCATTTTGTGTGACTTCATCCTGGCCTGGTTGCCACAGTCATCGTTGTCCTCAGGCTGCGTTCTGTACCCCACATACTGGGATTAGCCTCACGCTTCTTGTTTGCCCTCTGATAGGTGCTGGATGGCAAGGAGGACCTTGAGAAGCAGCATCGAGAGAGCATTAAACAACTGAACAGTGTTGTGGAGCGACAAGAAAAGGATCTTGCCAAACTTCAGGCAGAAGTGGAAGACCTTGAAGAACGGAACCGCAGCGTCCAGGCAGCGCTCGACAGTGCCTACAAGTGAGGAGATACTTGTGTGCCTGTCTTCAGCCACACATCCAGCTTCTGTGTCTGTTTCCTGTGAGATGTTGATACATAAGAGTTATTCACAGAGCCCCTGTTGGTGTTGTATCAACTGTAAATTCATTGCTTGTTTATTTTTGCCCCCTTTTTTTTTTTCCCCCCACCCCAGGGAACTTGCAGATCTTCATAAAGCCAATGCAACAAAGGACAGTGAGGCACAAGAAGCAGCCCTAAGTCGGGAAATGAAGGCAAAGGAGGAGCTTGGGTTAGCTCTGGAGAAGGCCCAGGATGAGGCACGGCAGCAGCAGGAAGCTTTGGCAATTCAGGTGGGTCTTAAATGCAGTGACTGCAACTTCTGCATTGAACAAATGTGTGTACTCAGGTCATGTGAGTGTCTGACACAGTGACCCAGGTGCTGCACAAGGTGGAGCTCATTTTTGTGGACATACCCGATGGATTTCTTTCCTGTGAACTTGGTCAGCCTTTAGTGGTAGTTGTGCTAAGCTTGAAAAATATTAATTTTATTTAAAAATACTTTTAATTTTATCTAAGTAAAAGGACATTGACAGACTTTGTTTTTGCAGCGCTCTGACCGTAATGCAAAGTTCAAGACATCTAGCTGGAAAAAGTCCTTAGTGGCAGATAAATGAGCTTAATTCTGTGTGCGTGAAGAGCTTAAACCTTTAACTTGCAAACAGACCTATCCTGTGTAACAGTGTTTAAGAATGGTGTAGGGCTGTAGCAACGAGTAGGTGGTAGGAGGATTGTGGCAAGAGGTGAGTGGTGCCATTTGTTTGTTCAGGTGGCGGACCTGCGGCTGGCGCTGCAGCGTGCGGAGCAGCAGGCAGCAAGGAAGGAGGACTATCTACGCCAGGAAATCAGTGAACTGCAGCAGGTAGGACAGCAGGTAGCTGATGACAACTTGGGTCTGCAAGGAGGGCTTCTAAAAACTGAAAATGAAAGGCTAGCGTGGCGTTAATTAAGATGTGAGATAATGAGATGTGGCAATCGGGACGAGGTTTAGTGTTGGGCTGATGGATGGGCTTGATGATCTTAGTAGTCTTTTCCAAGATTAATACCCTGAAAAAGAGGCTTTGTTTTCCTGATTACCTGCAGTATTTGTGCTGTGTGGAGCAACAATAAAAATATTAAAGGAAATGGTTTTTACTCACATATCAAAACCAAATAATAATTTTCATGATGGCTTGTAAATGGAATGCTGTCCTTTTAGTCTAAGACAAAGTACAGCCAGGGAGTCTGTGATAGTCTAAATTGTTAAAATTTAGACTAAAAATAAAGTTATTTTTTAATTTTAGTTTTATAAACCTTTTTTTTTTATAACTAAAATTCCTAGCAAATATGTTGTGAATTACTCTAGCTGCTTCTTAAGAATGTTTTTATTGTTCTTAAGGTCGAGAAGATAGATTGTTTCTAAAATGCTCAAAGTGATGTCCAGAGGGCTGGACATTTCTGGGCCATTGCTCTCTATCATGTATCTGAAAATCTTAAGCTTTCATCTTGTAATTTCACATTTTACTGTGAGTTCAACCACATGAATTTTAGAATGTAAAGCAACTGTAAAGCAGTAATTTTAGAATATAAAGCAATTGCTATGTCTTGAGCTGAATTCAGCATTAATCTTTCAATCCATCATGTGATTTTAAACCTTAATTATATTTAATTTGTGATTTTAGAGACTCCAAGAAGCAGAGAGTCGGAACCAAGAACTAAGTCAAAGTGTCACATCTGCTACACGGCCACTTCTCAGGCAGATAGAAAATCTGCAAGCCACGCTGGGAGCACAGACCTCTGCGTGGGAGAAACTGGAAAAGAACCTTTCTGACAGACTTGGTAAGATGTTTTTAGCTTTTACTGAACAGGAAGGCTCTTGATGAAGATGTAAATGAAAAGGGCTTGACATTTGCCCAAAACGTAGATGGTAGGTCAGGAGAGGTGAGCACAAAGTGCTTTCCTGTAAGGAAATGGTATCTGGGGTATTTTGCCAAGGTTCTTGGACAGGTAATGAAGTTTCTTTTCATTCTGAAGTCTCCTTGTTCTGTGTTGCTTTGATCCACTAACTGTAATGTGAAAAATACTTAATTTCTTTTTCAACAGGGAACAGGTTGTTTTTTAAAATCAGTTACTTTTTCAACAGGGAACAGGTTGTTTTTTTAAATCAGTTACATAAAAAACAAACAAAAAAACTCCAGTTCCATTTTTCCAACCAACCAAACAAAAAACCTCAAATTCCATTTTGATGCATAAATAAATGGCCTATATTATAGATATTTGATTTAAAAAAGTTAAATTCTGTGTTTTTCTCTACTTAATATTAGGTGAGTCTCAAACTCTTCTAGCAGCAGCTGCTGAGAGAGAACGGGCTGCTACAGAAGAACTTCTTTCTAATAAAATTCAGATGTCTTCTACTGAATCTCAGAATAGTCTTCTAAGGCAAGAAAATACACGTCTTCAGGCTCAGCTAGAAGTGGAGAGAAACAGATTGAAGAAGATGGAAAATGAAAACAGTAGGTGAGTTGTGTTTTTGGTTACTCGAGTCTCTAAAATTGTAGTGGAATGGAGTAGGCTGTCTCTTGCAAAGAGATCTGCTGCAGATGGTTGTAAAGTTGGAAGACTGGCTTCCTTTTGAGTGTTGATGCAACAGTGCAAAACAATGACAGCTATTGATAAAGTTGCCCAGCTTGTGAAGGATATTGTTTTATGCCACAGATGATCTGAAGTATGGTACTTTCATATTGTTTGAGAACCCTGAGGCTATGTTTGCTTTAAAAGTAAAGTAAGCCCAGAATGCTTACTGACTGACTATGTCTCTTTCTTTCCTCCATGTAGGTATGAGGTGGAACTAGAAGGACTGAAAGATGAATATGCAAAGACCTTGGAGGATGCAAAGAAGGAGAAGGTATTGCCTGCTTCAGCTTTGAGCTGTGTTACCCCTGAAGCCTGAGCTAGCAGGAGTCTAACAACCAGTATTTACTTTTGTAGACGCTGCTAGCTACTCAGTTAGAAATGGAGAAGATGAAAGTTGAGCAGGAAAGAAAGAAGGCAATTTTTGTGCAAGAAGCAGCAAAGGAGAAGGTACCAAACCCTAACGTTTCTGTTCAGTCCTGTGCTAGCAGTATTTCAGCAATGAGTGGACTTGGAGCAGTACAGCACATGCTGTCAGCCTAGGCACTGGGGATCTGGCTCTGTATTGGGACTGCCTTTTATTTCCAGGGAAATAAGTGCTCGTGTGATATTCCCTGAAATGAGTCTTGAGTAATAGTCTGTTTAACCTGAGAAGGGATAAAATATGGATGGAAAGATAGATTTTATCTTTTGTATGCTCTTGGATTCTTTTTCTTCTGAAGCTACTTGTTTTCTTTGCTTAGATTACCAGCATTGTTTCCACTGAATTCTTGCTCTGTGTGCCTGTGTACTATGTACCACATGCATTCCAGCTTAAGTCACAAATCACATATCAGTCAACAGTCAGTAGCTTCATTACTGCTAATTAGCAGTTGATCTTCAAGTAAAACTGTTTCTATTCCTGGTGTCTTACCACCTCCAGTTCTAAAATCTAACTGCTTTATCCTTCAGAGGCTAGCATACTTCCAGATGCTGTCTGTAAAAAAGAGGTTAGTCTGTTTGGAAGGTATGTCAGTAAGGTATTAGCCTGTGAGAAATCTCAGAATGGATTTCAGATACTTTATTTAAGAAAAAAGGTATTAACTTGCATTCTAAAAAGAGACACATTCTGGGAGTAGGATGTTCTTCCTCTGATACATGTGGGCCTACAAAACTGCCTCTGACTCTGCCTTGGCTGCTTGAAAGAGAAATTCTGTTAGTGTCATCTGCAGATTGTGTCTTTGTTTCCTGAAAAGTCTGAGCACTTGAGCACAGTCCCTGTGTGTGTGTAGCACAGTGGTTCTGCACTGCTGAGTTTTCATGGGTTGGGGATGGGGAGGGGTTATCTGCCGCCTTGTGTTCTGGAGCTGGTGGTGGAAAAGGGCAGTCAGTTCTTTACAAAAGCTCTCTTTGCCTATCCTGTAAGCTCTTTGTATTTGGCTGTGGGTGTTGTGTGGGGTGGTTGTTGTTGTTGTTGTGTTTATTTTTTTAGGACCGGAAGTCATTTACAGTTGAAACGGTTTCAAGCACTCCAAGTATGTCACGCTCCAGTTCCATAAGTGGAGTTGACATGGCAGGTCTTCAGACATCTTTCCTCTCACAGGTATCATTTATCAGTTATATTGGCTTTTTTTTGACAGACTGCTTTTTGAACTCTTTGAGAAGTTTTATTCATTTAGAAAATGACCCTTCAAGGGTATATTTGCCTTAGATGAGGTAATTCCTGTGCAAAAACTTCTAAAGCCTGCTTAAAAGATCTGATTGCAAAGCACCTGGGAAAGGTGGCATGAAATTTTGATCACAGAGTAATATACAGTTCTATTGGTGCTGAGTTCACATGTCTACTTTAGTCCAGGAGAATCGAATAATACCAGGAGGAGTCAAATCAGTTGATTTATTTTTGCTAACAGTCCTGGACTCAGGCACAGCCTGCTCCCTAGGCAGTAGCATTGGCTGTTGTGGTCTGTGTGAAGTCTCCTGCTTCTGCTGCTTTGTATGGGTACAGTTGGTGATGTCCCAGTTGAATGACAGTTGTATAGGTGAGATCTTACCAGTAAGGAGCTATCTCAGATTGTACCTGTTCACCCTAAGCTTTTGTTTTAAAAACAAGCTTTAAGCATTCAAATGCTTACGTAGTAACAGCAGACTTTTAAATCTTAAATGCAGAAATACTCTGAGAGAAGGAAGATTCCAAAGGGTGCACATTTTTGTCTAATCTTAAGCTTCTCTGACCTTTTGTTTATAGGATGATTCTCATGATCACTCATTTGGGCCAGTAGCTACTGGTGGGAGCAATCTTTATGATGCTATAAGGATGGGAGCAGGTTCAAGTATAATTGAAAACCTTCAATCTCAACTGAAACTAAGAGAAGGAGAGATTTCACATCTACAGGTACTGTGGTTAATCTTATATAACCAAATATAGCATTTAGAAGTGTAAACCCTAATGCAATCAATCTAATTAATACTTTATATTCAGTATAAAATACATGCAGTTTTCTATTTGGGAAGCTTGGTCCTCCTCCTCTCAGCAGGGTGCATTCACTCTTCCCCTTTCACCATGATTCTGTTAACCAGGAAAGCCACTGGAGGTATGTGTGGGTAAGACCAAGAGAAGGATTTCTTGCTTCTTTTTTTTGTTTTGGCAATGAGCTATCCAGAAAACTGAACCTGTGCATCTGAAAAAAAAGAAAACCCAAACCACTGTTCAGATTTGAGAAGAAAGTAAGAGTGTTTCCAGCTGTTTCATAGTCTACCTTAAGAAAAGGCCTTAATTACTGTATCAAAATACAGGTGCTTATAAATAGGGTAAATTCTGTCCTCCTCCTAATTGTTAGAATTGTTTATTTTAGCTGGAAATTGGAAACCTTGAGAAAACTCGATCAATAATGGCAGAAGAACTGGTTAAATTAACAAATCAAAATGATGAACTGGAAGAAAAAGTGAAGGAAATACCAAAATTACGTGCACAGTTAAAGGTAAGTGTATTGCTGTTGTAAATCAGATGTAAATTGACATATTTGTGGGTTGCTTTTTTTGGGAATACCCCTGTCAGTTTAGGATGACCTTCAAATCTGTCCCTGATCATAAGTGGCTGAAGAGCCTGCTTTGTTTTTTTTTGTCATAGAATCTGAAAATGCCTACTCTGTGACTAGACAGTTAATTCAAAATGCAGCTGGTGGATATGTGTGCTGTGCATAAGATCACATGCTAAATCAGGGAGAGAACATTTTTTGTTGTTTCTCTGACTTGAGACACTTGTCTGGAAGTAGTCCTTTTTGTAAAGGGGATGTTTTGATAGATAGCATGGATTTATGAGTTTGATGTAGAAGCTGAATGAGTGTGCAGTACTGATGCAGGTAATAGAACAAATACTTTAATGCTCTGAATGTTTAAGAACTTAAATTGAAATTTTGGAAATGTTCATCCTTGCAGGATTTGGATCAAAGATACAACACAATTCTGCAGATGTATGGAGAGAAGGCAGAGGAAGCTGAAGAACTGCGACTCGACCTCGAGGATGTGAAAAACATGTACAAGACTCAGATAGATGAACTTTTAAAACAAAGGCAAAATT